CTGCTCAGCGACAGACGCCCACCGTTTGGTAAAGAAAGAAAAACTGGGCGTGTCAACTGGGCATGCTTAGCATATTTCTTTATGCGCGCGCGCAATTCAATTAACAAGCTGCACATTTGCACACGACATATCTGCAGATCGAACTGGATACTGGACATTGGATACCCGAGTGGATACCAAATTACAAGTACAACCAATCCAAGTGGAGGCATTAAAAATGCGTGAAAGCGCGCTATGTTATCGCGGCCCAGAGTCGGACGTGGAGAGCACGTAAATAAATCAAAGCTCTGCGTTGCTTGTGGACCAGTTTCACTTTAAGAGCGGCTCAATTGATAAAAATATATACATATATATCCATTGCCAGGCACAACAACAGCAACAACAACAACGAGAAATAACAACAACGACAACTTTGTTAGGCAACGGCAAATTTTAGCCAAGATTTATGTGGCCATAAATGCGATTACAGAGCCCCAACGAAACGTCAAAAAAATAAATAAAATAGTAAAAATAAAGGTAAATACAAAACTGTGAGTCCAGTTTGCACTTTACACGGTTTTGTAATTTATTTCTGACGCTTCGATTGCATTCTAATGACAAGTGCAGCCGACGCCAACGCCGACGCCGACGCCGATGCCAATTCTTTGGCATAATTCACAGAAAGTTGCAGTTGCTTCGAGCTGCTGCTGCTGCATGTTGCTGGTCTGCTGCTGCTGCTGCATGTTGCTGGTTGCTGCTTGTTGCTGTTGCCACTGGCGGCGTTCACACTTCAAATTGCCAATTTGCATATTTTCGGCATACGTAATGCAATCGCAAGCTGCTCGAGCAAATGCTTAACCAGAAAATACCCTATCAACAGCTATTCAATCTGCATCATAATTTTATATAAAATTCTATCAAAAAAATGCTCGCGAAATTATCACAGAAGACTTTTACGAGACATGCCGCAAGAATATGAAAATAAACCTAAAAGAAATTTGTCGCCTGTTCGGCTCACAGTTTGAACCAGCTCCCTGCTAATAAGTTCGGTTCATGAAGCTGATTTGCCAGGCTTTGGCTTAAACCTTAAAATATCATATACATATATATAAATAATTTAAATTTTAGTGTTTAATTGCCCGTCTTACTGAAAATATTGCAAGCAAGAATATCTGTATATACAAGATACGTCCTAGGTTTAATATTTGCCCTAAAATTGGCATCTACCATATATGATATAAATGTAATTGAACTATCGGGGGAATATCATAATAGGTTTATTGAGCAGACGCACTTATATAAGACTAGAAGATGTTCTTAGTGCTAAACTCGCCTAGAATATTAAGGCTTTAAGGGGGTGCCTGAAAATATAAGTTGAAATTATATTAGCTATGCCCCAGCATTTAAATAGAGCTCTCCTTAAACCAGCTTCAACCAGCTGCATAGGCACAGCTAACCTCTTTACGCTTAGCTACAGGGTAGGCTCACAGATTATATTGCATAAATCAACAGCAAGGCAGCGGACGCGTTTTCGGCGCGTTTTTTATCGCGCGCCAGCATCTCTGGCTGGCAATTCATCTCATTCTCATGCAGCACACTCAGATTTCGGATGTGGATATCTTGGCAATATGCGAGAATTTGTTAGCTGAACGCTGCATTTGCCATAATTAATTCCGATTGCACATGCAAACGTTGCGCATACGCCGCGTAGACGGCCACAAAAACAACAACAAACAAAGTTAAGTGGAAGTGTGTGTGTGTGCAGCTGACTTATGCTTTGAGGCGCATTTGACACGCCCATTTTGAAGCTGCCCATGTGGGAGTTGTTGCTGTTTATCTAGCCTGGGAAGCTGTTGATGGGCTTGTTGCTGTTATTGCTTCGGCGGCTGCTGCTGCTGTCGATGCTGATGTTGATGTGTTTTGACTTGTGCGCTGATTTACGGCCCAGCGCCTGCCGTGCAGCAATTTGTTTGGCTGCCACGCAGCAGAGGGGCGGAGAGGCAGCGGGGCAGCGAGTCGGTTGCAGAGGCAGCCAAGGCCAGGCCGGGCCAGGCACAAATTAACGCGCCAGTCGCCACATAACTTGCCGTACGCATAAAACATGTTAAGTAATCAATTGCTGATGTGCAGAGGCGGCCGCAGAACGTGCACTCTAGACCCGGCACCAAGTGTTCATTGCCAATGCCAAAGGCAATGCGGCTGACCATTTTAAAGGGCAACAAACACGTGCAACTGCTGCTGCTGCTGCTGCTGTTGCTGCCAGTTGTTGTCGCTGGCAACTTCAAAGTATCCTGCGGCATAATGCGCTTAATAAACCATGAATCACTGTCCAAGCGGCTGTCAGGCGGCTCCGACTGCCGCGTCGTCGGGGCAGCAACATTGATTTTGTCACGACGCAAACACTTTAAAAGCAACAATTGCTAAAGTGCGCGAGCTGCGTCCAGTAAATGATGTGCGCATGTGATAAAGGGCCCGCAAACGAGCCACGGCTTGCTCCAGCAACAACATCCACAGCAACAGCAACAACTACAGCTATAAGCCCTAGTCCCAGTTGGCAGTTGTTCAGAGTTCAGGTTCAGTACCAGCTCAGGCTCTGGCTGTTGCTTGTTTTGGTCGCCTTGTCGTCGCTTGAGTGGCATAAAAAACGGCTTGCACTTGGACTTGAGAGCTGCGCTGTTTTAGTTTGAGTTTCAGTTTGAGTCTCTGGGCCTTGGGCTCCATGGGGGCTATCAACATTCTCAGGTGCGCCGGCGCAGCCTTTGTTTGGCCAATGGGCAACTTTTGTCAGCTTCTTTAGCTGGCCAAAAATTGTAGTGCCGTCTGCTTAGTTGTTGTTGCTGTTGTTTTTGTTTCTTCTGTTTTCTGTATGCTGCTTGCGTTTTGGCCACAACCCTAAGCCCATCATCCAAGCTAGTTAAGTTGTTAGCTGCCCTCGAGCACCAGGCAGCAGGCACCAAGCAGCACAGCCTCAATTCCAAACTCCCAATTGCACAGTTGTATGCAAGTTCCCTTTGCCAACCAGCCAGCCAGCCAGCCAGCTAGCCAGGCATCATTAATCAGCTCGGGTTCATCAGCGGCAACATGGTTCATTAGCTTTGGTTAGTTGTTGCTGCTGCCGCGGCTGCTACTGCTGCTGCTGCTGTTGTTGCTGCCGTTTGCTGTTGCTGCCGTGCCCGTTTGGCGGCCTCCTGTCGACGATTCTAATCATAAGGCACCGGCAGCGGTTGCGGTTCAGCATTCGGCATTCGGCATCGGCGTCGTCTGCCATCACGCCAGTCGCCAAGTTAATTGGCTAGAAGTTTTACATAGACGCAACTGCAACTCCCAACAGCAACATTGGCGGCAAAATCTGAAACATCGTACCAAACTTTACGTATGCTGTTGCCCATGTTGTTGGTATTGTTGTCGTTCAGCTTATTTGGTAGCAAAGTCTGCAACAGCGACACATTATCAACATGCTCATGCTGATGTTGCAGCTTCAATTCCCGCTGCTTATTGTTGCTGCTGCTGCCGATTGTGCCTTATGCATATTTACATGTTGCCCAAGCCTAGCCGAGGCTCTTTGGCAGTGATCTTGTCGGAACGAGTGCCACGTCTGATTAGCTTGACAGTTTCCAGCAGCGTTTGCAGCTACTGTTAGCTTTGCGCATCGTGGGAAAAACATATCGCATACAGCTTGGCTAAAGGTTTACCGCAAGCAATTGTTTCGATTTAGATAAAAGACTTTATTTAGGGACTCTAACTAGCACATCGAACAAATCAACCGCTCTCACTCTCTCTCTCTCTCTCTCTCTCTCTCTCTTTCTCTCCTTGTTGTCCTACCTACTCACTCTCGCTCTTTAAAACATCGAAGTTCTATGCGATTTTCATGAGGTCTAGTAAGGCTTAAGGATTTTGATAATTTGGGCGAATAAGTGAGAAAGACAAGTTATAGACCAAATAGAAATACATTTAAACATGCATTACACAGGAAATATCGGACCTGTTATAGATTGAGTTTCATGGCATTAATCGGGCTGGTCAGACTGGCCAGGCGCACCTTGGATACGGGCAGCGTGCGTACATCCGTGGGCATCATTGACAAATCATGTTGGCAACTGTTTGATGCTGCCAACAAGTCTATCAAAACTTGACAACATTTGCATCTGGTTGCTGGTTGAAGCTCGGCTCAGCAAGACAAGATCATATTTATGTGTGTAAAACCAGACACAGACCGGCTACTGTTGGCATGGGACCTGGCGTGGACGCTCGGCCTGGTGTGGACTACTGTGTGTAAGCGGCGGCGGCGGCGACAGGATGCATAAAATTTATGAAACAACGACGCCTTTTGCGCACATAATTAAATCAGACAAAGCGCAGCTCATGTAAATCCAGGGAAACTGGCCCAGCCCACGGAGGCAGAGACTCAACCGGATGCGGTGCAAGAAATGCAGCTTGACTATTTTTAATTACCACTGTCAGTGGCAAAGGCAACAAACAGCTGCTGCACTCAATCTCTGCGCAAAAGTTGCATCTGTGCGGTGTGGGGTTGCTGCCTGGCACTGTAATTGTTATAGTTTGTCAAGTGGGGCTGGAGCTGAAGCTAGCAGCTTCGGGGCTGGGATTGAGATTGAGGCTGCGGCTGGGGCTGGGGCTAGTCGCAGGCATGCGAATCAATTACATATTACTGCGCCGGTTGGCAATCGACGTCGCGTCGTTGGCGATTAACTGCAGTGACTTTACCTGTTCGTTGCGGCCAGCGACGCTTTCATTAAAGTGCAAATTATGACTTGCCAGTTCCGCCAGGTGTTGGCCTGGCCTATTTGTCTTTAGCCGGCTCAGATGCGACTACCAAGCCGCCCTTTTGTATATAAAGTTATCAACGCCATCGTCATTGTGCGATTATTACCCGCTGCTGTTGCTGCCGCTGCTTTTACGACATTAATTACCGCTCTTCTGGCTTTCAGAGATTTATAAATAAATTTATAGGCCAACAATAAAGGCAACTGGCGCTAACAGCTTTGGTTTAGTCATTTTATACATACATATAAATATAACCATCAGCTATATGAACTTGGCATTCACAAACTATAGCTAAGGAACATTTGTACTTTAGGTCTAAGTTATTTATTCTTTAAAACTTAAAGCCCGGCTTAGGCACATTTGTAACAGTCGATCGCCTCCGTAAAATAGATGTGGCAATCCAATATCTCGTGCACTTTTTCCTGTATGTTCGACTCGATCTCATTGTACGCCATGTGCCAGCGACAACAGCTGGCGCGTTTGGCTTTGATGAGGCGGCACAGGTACTTCATGACCTCGTAGACTTTGTCCATTTTGTTCTCTTCCACCAAATAGCAAATGTTCATGTACATTAAGTCCACATCGGCTGGTTTGGGCACCTCCTCCGATTTGACCCACGTGGCCAGCATATTTTTATAGTTGGGATCCACAAACACATTCTCATGTTGCGTAGGCTTGACAGGTTGCTTGGCAGCCGGCGCCACAACATCCGGCGCAGGAGGAACTTTTGATATTGTATTATTTGCTGTAAGATACTGTAAGATGGCGGGATGCATATGCTGTGGCAGCTCCTGTACATAGTTAGCCACAATTTGATCAGCACGACAGACGCGCTTCTTGTGCTTGGCCAAGGCCGCCTTCGAAGTGGAGGGCTGCAGGTCGCTCTCATTTAAATCACTTGCAGTAGGACACGCAACACGCATCGACGGTGGCGGCGGTGGCGGTGATGACGAACGGGATCTGGAACGTGAGCGCGATTTCCTCTTCTTTTTGTTAGATTTTTCCTCGTGCTCTTTGGCTTGGATGTCTCGTTTGCCGTGCACGGTGCTCTTGGTCATGCGCAAATACTCCTCCGGATAGCAGAGTATCTCTCGTCGTATTTCGTCTGGCAGCTGCGCCAGAACATCCACATCAAACTGTGTGATGGCTGGGGGGGCAAGAGGCGGCGGAGCGTACTCGCTGCAAACAATTGTATCTCCTGACGGAATGGCCTGAATACCCGTTTTCTTAGCCGTTGGGGCGTTCTTTAACATTGTGAGAACATTTACTTCTGGCGGCTTCGCTTTCTTTTCCACTGGCTGCTTGCGTGGCTCCGTTGGTGGCACCACAAGCGATTCATTCTCATCGCAAGCTGTTGATATTCCCACCGGAATGGGCTCAAAATCAGATGACTTCTTGTTGGCTGCTGCGCTCTGCAACATGCTAAGGACACTCACGTTTGCCGACTTTGCTTTAGTCTCCACTGGCTTCTTGATTGACACTGCTTCATTGAGAGTTTTTTCTGGGGTGACAAAATCTGTCAATTTTGAAACAAATGACAAAAGAAATTCGGCCTACCCTTTTGCTTTTCAGACATCTTGAAAAACATATTCTTGATGACGTTCTCCTTTTTCGAATCGACTATATCATCCAGCTTGCCTAAATGTATGCCAATGCCACGCAGCTCATGTGGCGGGAAGCCGGACTCTTTCATCAGCTTAAGCACATTTGACATAATTATTTCAACATCGTCGGTGCTTTGCTTGAGAAGCGAAGACTTTGTTTGATTGTCACAGACACCGTGACCCATAAATTTGGATGTTTCAACAGGTGCCTCTGCAGCACGCACCATCAGCTTCAAGGTTATCAATTTGGTCTTGCGCTTGATCTCGATGAGACGGCTGTGCACTTCGATGCTAAGCTGCTGTATAAACTTTTCCAGCTCCTCGTTCTTGGTGAAACGTATGCCGTAATTGACCTCAGCAGAGACAGATTTGCGTTGCTAAAAGAAAAGTGGATATATTATGGATAGTAAAATAATATGGATACAAAAAGTCTCACCTGTTCATAGACTAGAGGACGTGGATCAATGCCACGACAGTTTTGGTATAGTGTTTGTGCCATTTTCTTGCCCAGTAGCATTTCCAGGCGCACCAGCGATACCAACTGAACATCCGCGCATGTGATTAGGCCTGCCTGATTGAGCTTATAGGTCATGCTGCTGCCCACACCAGGTAGGACATCTAACGCAAAGGACGCCATATATTTGGCCGCATCATCAGTGTCCAGCAGATGCTGTCCATTGGGCTTGGCCAGCTTGGTAGCCATGCGAGCCAGCAGTCTGTACACGTGAGTAATAAGTTCCCAATTCAGTTACTCATGCGGCTATACTTACTTATTGTCACCCACTCCCGCGGAGCAAGGACAACCAGTTATATCACGCACCTCCTGGCGCAGATGTGTCACAAACGTCATAACATCGACTTGTAGTTCTTGCAACAAATCCGTCAGATCAACAAACATTTCATCGCAGCTAACAGCTTCAATATTGAGCGTGTACTGGGCCACAGTATCATACAGAGCAAAGGCCACCTGAAATGACAGGCATTAATTATCAGAAAGCCTGATACGTTAACCAAACGCGATGCTTACCTCGCGATAGCCCTCAAAGTCGTAAGGGATAGTTTTCAGGTCGGGGCACAGCTTGAGCGCCTGGCCAACAAACATGCCATTCTTAATGCCTTTTTCGCGCGCCTCGTAGCTGCATGAAGCAATCTCCGACAGCGACATTTTCTTTTCAAATCCATAGCGCACCTTGTCCGCTCGAATGTTGTCGTGCTTTTGGTGCTCAAAGCGTTGGGCAAACAGCTCCTGTTCAACTTGACGGTCAGCTTGAGGATGTACGGGCACATCGGTGGCTGCGCTTCCACCTTTGGAATGTGTTACGGCAAGGGGCAGGCCACGCAGCTCTGGATGCTTCCGCAGGCCCACAGATACAAAGAAACAGTCCATATCAATATGCATAACATAACGTTTCGGAGTCGTAATAGGAATATCTGACTGCTTGCAACCTAGTTGTGAACGGAGTTCGGTGCGCTTCACAAACGATTTGTTTCCATGCGCCTGACGCAACTCGCAAACATATTGCTTGAAACCGGAACCGAGCGTTGCAATATGATGCAGACGCGAGTTTTTGTAGAACTCACTGAGGAACGCTGGGTCGACGGCAGTACGTGCACTGTTGCTGGTACTGGTCGTCGTAGTGGTCACATTGGTCACAGTGGATGAGTTTTTGTCGGGCGAAGTGGCCACAGCCTGCTGTAGCTCCTTGAGTATGCCACCCAGGGCGCTCTCAAGGGTTCCCGATCCTTCGGACACTGTTGAATCGTTGTTTTTAGCCTTCCCAAAATTTAGACGCGGCTGCGTCGTTTTTTGATTGGTATACAACAAATACGGCTTGTAGTCGACAATACGCTTCTGTTGCACACAATCAACTACCCATTGGGCACTAATTATCCGGCTGGTGTCCATTTTACGAACCTTCACATCAGGCAAATTGGACGCTATGATGAAATTCGTGTGCGAGCGTTCATAGTGATGAAATGTGCCGCCATGTACCATCATAATACGCTTGAGTTCGTCGGCTGATGGATTGGTCAGGCCATTGACAAAAATTGAAATGCCATCAAAGAGATTTGACTTGCGAAATGGATCGCTAGCGGCCGCAAATTGCTCCTCGAGCTTTGCCTTTTTCGCTTCAAAGTATCCACCCTGCGATAGTCATTTTAGACGCTGCTTTAAATTGTTTGCTTTTCTTTAACTTACCCAATCGCTAAATCCATTGTCATCTTCGCGTGCCATCGCAGCGCGCTACCAAAATTGGATAGCCAAAAATTTAAAACTCAGAACCAGCGTAAACTTGTCCGATAAGTACCTGTGGCTGGATAAAAACCCGATAACCGATGGTTTTTTTTATTCGATATTTCAATAAGTGGCAACACTTTCACGTTTAGTGCTGGTAAACAGACAATTGGTATTGTTTTTATTTGCCTCCGGCTTTATAGTTTGTAAAATGTGGAAATTTGGTCAAAATCAGATGAACCAAAGTCCGCAAGGTGGCGGGGGACCAAACATGATGCCAATGGGTGGCTTTATGCAGGGAGGAGCAGGCATGCACATATCGCCACAACAACAACAACAGCACCAAATGAACATGATGAGCGGTGGTGGACCGGGAGGACCCGGTAGCATGCAAATAAATCCCAATGCAGGTTCTGGTGGTGGACCGCCTGGTCTAATGCAAGGCATGGGCATGTCGCCGCAACACCAGATGCAGCAACAACACCAAATGATGCAAGGCGGCGTCGGCGTACCAATGTCAAATATGCCGCAGCAGCAAGCGAATGCAATGCAACAGCAAATGATGGGTCCACAGCAAGGCGTGGGAATGGGTAGCGGTGGCGGCCCACAGCAACAACCGAATATGCCTCAACAACAACAACAGCAACACAATCCAGGCACAAGTGCAGCTGGCGGAGGTGGCGGCGGCAACAATATGCTGGCAATATCTCAACCGAATCCGCACAAGGAAATCAACATAGTACAGCTTTCGCGCTTGGGCCAAGAGACAGTGCAGGATATTGCATCTCGATTCCAAGAGGTCTTCTCGGCACTAAAAAACATACAACCTACATCTCACAGAGACAATAACACGGAGAAAAAGGTTCAGGAATACTTTCGCACTATTCGGCTGCTTTTCAAACGGGTGCGCATCATCTATGAGAAGTGTAATGATGCCGGCATGGATTACATGAACGCCGAAAGCTTAATACCCTACAGGGATGAGCCCGATCCGCGTATAGAGCCCTCGCAATGTGACGAATATCGAAAGGTTTTGCAAGAGAACCAGGAGCTCATCGAAACTGTGAAGCTGAAAAACCGACAATTAAGAGAGATTATTGATAGAACGCGCATAATAATATGGGAAATTAATACTATGTTGGCGATGCGGCGTTCCTAAATCCCAATATTTTAATCAATTCCAAACTATTGTTTATTTATGTAAATGTAATAAAAGAAACACACAACAAATATTTGTTTGACTTGATTTCGGCGCTTACCAACACTGCCAATTTGTGTTGCTGTAGAGAATAAGCAGTTTGTGTTTGTACGCGAAGACGGCGACTCAGTTTCTCATTTGTGCAAAATAACAAGCAAATAACAATTTTAATAGTTTTCTTTGAGTGAAATTGAACTAAAACAACAACATCATGGCGAAGATGGCATTTCAGCATCAGGCCGGCACGGCTATGGAATGTTTGAGCGTAAGTTGTAAATTTCAGACACACACATGAACAGGTAGCAACAGCGTTATTCCTGTATGTGGGTGCGTGTGTGTGTGTGTGTGCGTGTGTAATTCGTGTTCGTGAAATTGGGTCGCATATCATAGAGATGCATCATAAACAGACTTTCACACTGTTACCCAGCTATTATTTATGATGTTTCCCGCGATAGATACCCATAACGCTCCACAAGGAAAAGGACTACGACCAGGAGGGCAGAGAGATATTGAAGTGTGGCTTTAAAATAGGTGGCGGAATCGATCAGGACTACAAGAAGAGCCCACAAGGCTACACGGACTATGTACGTATTATACATTGGATGTTCTTATATACTAATCGACCATAAAACCGCTCCAGGGCATATACGTGACGGAGGTGCACGAAGGTAGTCCAGCTGCTCGAGCTGGTCTACGCATACATGACAAGATACTGCAATGCAACGGCTACGACTTCACAATGGTCACCCATAAAAAGGCAGTTAGCTATATACGAAAAAACCCGATACTTAATATGCTAGTAGCACGCAAGGGTGTCACATCCACATAATTGCATTGGCTGGTCCCCAAATTCCATACAAGCAGCAGCATTCAAGCGGTATATAAATTTACTATCTAGTACTTCACTGCCTCTCATTGCTAAGGATCTCTAATTAGCGCTCTTTGGAAACTACTCGAATACTTATTTATATATATATAAGCATATATACTTAACTTCACATTATGCATATCGCGCACATATTTAGCTATATTCGTAACAAAACATTGATGCATATGTGAATGTAGCAGTAGAAAAGCTTCTTGTTAAATTTCTGTTTCTTTGTCTTGGCTTAAGTTAATAGCTAAAGTCCCCCAACTAGGTTGTTATATTCTCCGCTCGTTGTACGATTTTCCAAGAAACCGTGTAAAGAAATTGCCAAAACTAAAAGCCACATGCAACAAACAAAATATACAATATGTTAACATAAGCCAGGTTCAACAACGGGCTGAATTTTTGCACGATTTCTAAAGCAACAGAAAATGTATAGAACAAATTTCTCATGTACATTCTCAGCCCGTATTGAATAGTGAATCACACACGTAAATATAAACAATTTTGTACTTTTATACACCTGTCAAATATATACGAATGTATGTATGCAACAAGCCACAGCTTTTATACAATCAGCAGCATTCCAAAAACACGCAAAGTTGTTGAAAACTAAATATTACATAATTGTGATAAATGCCGTTACTTGTGCAGATGTGTTTTTTTTTTTAAATATGTATACACATTTATTAAGTATTTTTAAAATCAGTTTTTAAATGTTTAATTGCATTGAATAAATGTTTGCCTCTAGAAGCAGTTACCTTGAATTTGACCTTCACCTTGCAGTCGCACTGCAGCGACAGCTTATCATTGTAAAAATGTCGGAAGGTGCAGCTTGTTGTTTTTTATTACAATGTACTTTGGGTTTACACATGCACACATCAAATTTTGTAACATTTTGCACTTAAAGTCTCACAAACAAATTATAAACAACTAGTTGTACGCTTTTTGCTAATTAGAATAATTACAAATAACTGAAGTTTGAGGAGCGGTTGAGGAACTTGTCGAAAGAAGCAGTTGATAACAAAACAGGATAGCAGAAAGAACGTGGCACGTTTACGGAACGACGACCTTACCACGTAGAAGGCAAGAACGCATCAATATGAGAAACTGCCTGAAACTATTTATTGGCATAACCATTGGGATTCTGACTCTGCCAGCGCCACGTGTCCTCGCACATTTTATCAATGCCGCGTGTCGCCTTCCAACCGAGCGCACGATATGCCAATTGAGCGTCCGCATAGCAAGTGGCTACGTCTCCTGAACGCCGATCGACCAGCTCATAGTTGACCTTCTTGCCGGAGGCACGTTCGAAAGCATGCACCAGCTCCAGCACAGAGCAGCCAACGCCGGTGCCCAGATTATAAGCAAAGAAGCCTGTTTCAGCAATGTTGCGCAGCTTGTCCAGGGCCTTGACATGACCCTCAGCCAGATCCACAATGTGTATGTAGTCACGTACGCCAGTACCGTCCTTGGTAGGAAAATCGCTGCCGTAGACACTAAGCTTTGGACGACGGCCAACTGCCACCTGGGCAATGTAGGGCATTAGATTGTTGGGCTCGCCATTGGGATCCTCGCCAATGCGACCGCTTATGTGGGCGCCCACGGGATTGAAGTAGCGCAACGAAACAACTGCCCAACGCTGCCAATAGAAAACGATTAGTTTAAAGGGAACAAGGACATGAGTTACGGATTGGTCATACCTTATCTGACTTGCACAGATCCTTTAGTATTTCCTCTGTGAAATATTTGGTTTTGCCATAGGGTGATGTGCAATTGCCTGTTGGATGCTCCTCAGTAACAGGCAAAAACTTGGGTTCACCGTAAACGGTAGCGCTCGAGCTGTACACAAATTTGAACACATTGTTATCGGCCATGGCCTCCAGCAGGACATTGGTGCCCGTCATGTTGTTGTGGTAGTACTGCAGCGGTATCCGACAGGATTCGCCCACAGCCTTGAGCGCCGCAAAGTGGGCAACCATGTCGATTTTGTGCTAAAAATAGAAACAGTAGCTAAAGATTAGTATAATGACAATCAGATTGTCGCCGCATCGAGTGCAACGTCAATGTTGACGCAGTCGCTTGCCAGCACACCAAGTTATGTGACCGAGGTCACGCCCATGCCTCAGCGATCGTTGGCGCGGGGCGCACCGCAAGTGTGCGCCAGCTGAGTAAACAAACGTTGAGCGCTGATAGCGTTAGCAATTGTGATAAGCAAGATGGAATGGTTGGCGTATGAAATGTGCCACATATATCCAATTCATCAACATGCTGGCGATTTGCTGACGTGCCACTTTGGCTACTAAAACTCACCTCCTGGAAGACGGAGCGCACTTGCTCGCGATCTGTGATGTCTACGCGATAGAAGTGAACCTTTTTGCCGGTTATTTCCTGCACACGACTCAGTGCCTCGGGCAGCTTTGAGGCACCTCCGCTGTAGGCATTGCACAGATTGTCCACACAGATGACATTGTAGCCAGCGTTCAGCATTTCCAGAACTGTGTGTGAGCCAATGTAGCCCGCGCCACCCGTAACTAAGACAGTTGGTGGTGCCATTTTCGAACCGTACGCTGCAAGCTTGTACTAAAGACTGCTCTGGAGCTGGAAAGTGAAAATTGGGCCAAACTGAGCGAAATTCTTATTGACGTCACCAAAATTCTCCACGCACACGTACATGCATGGGCAGAGTTCTAGTTAACGGTGCTTGCCAACGTGTGTATTTGTGTGTGCCACTCACCTCAGTACACGATAATTACTTGGCTGACTGGCTGGCTGCGTCTACGTTGAGCAGCTGAATCACTTGGCTAGCTGCTGATATACACACGTTGCTTCTGCCGCTACCCTTGAAATCGAATGTTTTATTTAATGTTTTGTTTAAAAAAAAAAACACACGCACAAGGCATGGGCTGCTAATGGTGATGCCGACGCTGTTTAGGAGGAGCTTGGAGCTGGTTAAAGATCGCTGACCTCTCTCTCTCTCGCTGTCTGTCTCTCTTTTTAAGTGCGTCTAAATCTGAACGCTTCTTCTGTGTTTTGTGTGTTGTTATCGTAACTCGTTTCTTGCACTTGTCGTGTCGTCTTCGCACGTTCATTCATTCATTTGCGGGCCTCCCTACTTAAGCACTTGGCGATTTTTGTACGTCTGTTTTGCTGGGCGGTTTGCTCGCAACTGATTTCTGTTGTTGTGCCGTCCGCTTTTAACTTGTATTTCCGCTCCGTATGCTTGGCTTATCAACTCGCTTTTTATCAATATGAACACCAATGCAGCCAGCGCTCGGTAAGCTGCAACTGCTGGTTGCCGCTCTTTCTATATATGCCTATTGACATGCTTATCAATAATGCTCATTTATGAAACAATTAAGGCAGGAGCAGAGAATAAACTCGCACTCACAAGACCGCTCTCTACTATTATCAGCAAAAAGTAAACAATTATGACGTTGGCGTTGCCACACCAGCACTCCGCGTTATCGATAACTTATCGATATGCTGCCACAGTGCGATAAACAACTACGCAGGCAGCAAGCAAAAAAATATGCATTAAGTTATAATTAAGCAATTTCCATTTAAATTAGTAAAAAGTTAGTCAAGCCACAATTAAATCATGGCATCCGCAACGGTAAGAAATGTATGTATGCCACACTAACAACTAATGCGCAGAAGGTTCGTCTGCAACCACCACAAAAACCAGACAACGTTAAAAACTAAGAGCATCTAACCGCATCCAAGCCCAAAGGCTGTGACTAAGTTGCAAACATAAACTAACTAAATGCTTTGCACAGGTGCCATTGCTAGACGATGATACGATACCTTTTGGGGAGGAGGACGAAATGCGCGATCCCAGCACTGCGGCCCAGAAATACACGTAAGCAATAAGAGCGTAAAATGTGTGTATGCGTTGCGTTAACCTGCGTCTGCTGCTAGGCATCCGTATGTCACCTTCTTTCACCTGTTCTTCCGCGGCGCATCAATCGTCATTTACATGTTCTGCGGCTGGTTCAGTGACTCCTTCATCACTAGCTTTGTATTCGTTGTGCTATTTCTATCCGCCGACTTCTGGACAGTGAAGAATATATCGGGCAGACTTCTGGTCGGACTGCGTTGGTGGAACTATGTTGATGACGATGGCAAATCGCATTGGGTGTTCGAGTCGAAAAACGTAAGCCATTTCCAAATATAAAATAGAAATTCAACGATGTGACAAATGTAACGCAGTCTCCATCCTACCAGAGCCGTATCAACAAGCACGAGCAGCGCATATTCTGGTTGGGGCTAATTCTCTGCCCGTTGTTTTGGGGTCTCTTCTTTCTGATGGCATTGTTTGGACTGAAGTTCAAATGGCTGTTGTTGGTCATGATTGCCATAGCACTTAATGCGGCCAATCTCTACGGATATATCAAGTGTAACTATGGTGCTAGCAAAGATTTGAACAGCGCCGCCACCGACTTTGTCAAAACGCAATTCTTTAAAAATGCAGTCGACATGATGACCAAACCCAGTGGGGCACCTCCACCGACCAATGTGCGCCCAACTGGCGTTGTCTGAACGTGAATGCAAGCCTTCTTGCCAACATAAGCTGCGGCGCATTCCAAAGAGTATGTAGAGTTTATGGTCGTTTTCTGTGTAACATATGTAAAACTTAATTTAGCATTAACTTTTCTTACATTTACGTTGCTTTTTATTGAGTAAAGAACATATGTATGTATTGAAATCTTTTTAACAACTTGTTAAATGGAATACATCAAGTTTCCCCTAGTAAATTTTAGCCAAACAAATTCTTTAAACATTACAATTTCGCGCCGTTTCGAAATACGGTAACGCCAAAAATAATATTGTTACTTTTCGTATTTTGTGTTGGTTCCATATGCGGTCACATTGAACTTACGAAACTGCCAACCTACTTCAACATAAATGTCAACTCCTTACTTGCTTATCGATTAATTAAGTGTACATCCCTAGGACATTAGCCATTGTCGGAAAATTTTTTCTTCGCTTACGGCTTGTTCTACAGTTGTGAAATATAAATCTAAAAAATAAGTGCAATCTCATTGCGCAAACGTTTCAAACAAAAAACTTAAAGTGTGCTATTTTCCGTACAATAATACAAAAGGTAAGCGGAGTTATATTGTGCTGTATTTAAGGCAAAATGTGTGTTGCTACCAATATCGATTATTTGCCGCTGTCGACGCCGGCGCCTGGTGCGACGTGCTAATAACAGGGTGCTTCGCTAGACAGGAAAAAAAAAGCAAAAGCTAGTGTGAATATTCTGTGCTTTAATTTGTGTTTATTGTGTGCATGTTTGTTTGCTTTCATAGCAAAATGCGTGGTCGCGGCAACTACATTCCACGAGGAGGCGGCACAATGCGTGGCGGCGGCGGCTACTACAACAACCGCAATTCCAGCAATTACGTGAACACGCGTACCCAGGGCAATTACCGGCCAAACAACGGACGGTATGAGAACAACTATCACAACAATCGATACAGTGGTGGCAACAATGCTGGTTCCAACAACGATCACTATGACAATCGCAACCGCGACAAGTTCAACAACCATCATAATTCGAGCACCGGCGGACGCTATGACTCCAGCTCCAGTCACAAGCGCAGCTATGTGAGTTAAGATAAACCCAAACATGAGCTCGTTTCTAAATCTTCTTTTTTCATCCGGGCGAACAGGATTCGTCACGGGATCGCAGCGATGACCGCAAACGTCCGCGTCAAGACGTAAGTTTATTTTTGACCCTACCAAAAGTTAATGTGCCCAAAAAAAAAAAATGAAAAGTTTTCAGGTTACTTAAGACATTTGCATCTGTACTGCGGTCATTGTATGTGTAATTTTAATGAGTTTCCAAATATTTATAGCACTATTTGTGAAGTTTTAACACCGGATTCTAGAGCGTAAACGGAAATTGCACACATAAATAGTTGTGCACTCAAAGTAGTCAGAGAAAAAGACTTTGAGAACGCAAGAACTCAATTTATATTGCATATATATTTTATATATTATAAATAGCAGCAGCAGCTACGCATATAGCAAAGATTTTGCCACAGCGATCGAGATATATACATATATGCATATATATATATATTTTATATGCATAGAAAGTGCAGTCATGGCTGCGATCGAACCTGAATCAAAACATGATTGAGAGCGCGCATTGTGTGTCTATACCCTATATAATATGTATATCTTACTGCCTGTAACAGCAGACAATGTCTCCGTTCCGACAACAGATATCTATACCTATAAATATATACAATTAACATGTATATTTGTATAATCAATCCATCTAAATAGCTAAAAGTATAAGGTTTGTTCATCATGCTACTACTACTACTACACACACTTGCTACAGGATAACGATTATTGCATTTGAGATAACCCAATTTATATAACTATATAAAAGTATAAATATATATAGCAATTCTTTATCATCCACAAACAAGAAATTTATATGTATATCTACCTATGTATTCGAATATCAAATCAAATCAAAACAAAAAACAATGCTCCTCTACACTCCTTCCTACTCATCAATCGTCATAGGATTACCGTCGCACGTCCTCGTCAAATGATCACAATGATCGTCCATCGTCGTCATCGCAGAATATGGGCTCATCGTCGTCCAGTTATCATCAACGGAACAGCACCGGCGGTGGTGGCGGCAGTTCTAGCTCGTATCGGCCACGCGATGATTCGGGCAGTCAGCGACATCAGCGCGAGTCGTCAATGGGCCCGCCGAAGCGTCCGCTGTTGCGCAGCGTTGCCGGCACCAATTATATATCACGTCCGCGGGGCTCAATGTCCATACGCGGCGGGATGATGCGCAACAACATGCGTGGCGTTGGCAACATGCGGATTGTGCGGCCGCGAATCAACGAATCCAATGATCTGCGCACCATGCGCCGCCAACTGCTTTATGCTCAGCAGAAAGATCGCGCACGTCTGCTCAAGATCCAACAGCTGAAAAGGTAATTAGTAAAAAAAAAGTATTACAAACAAAAAAAAAGAAAAGTCGTCCAGTATATAGCGCATTTCGCTTTCCTGTGTGAGGCAGTTATGAAATTCAAGGCCGATGATAGTTTAAAGCACATACGCCATGCGCCATTGAAAGGCGACGGGCTCCAATTGAAGAGAGCATCAAATACATTTGGCTATATGTTACCAATATGAATATGTGATATGAACACTATGACTATTTTATAATAATAATATGCCACATATATGAGTGAGAAGTCCGAGGTTAAGAACTATTATTGGCTAAATTGACAAATTGAAAGGCTTATTTAAGAAACCATTCTTATATCGAGATACTAGAGATTGAGATCTTCGCATATCTTGTAAACAGTTGTCACTGTATCTATAATCTTGTAGAGAATCAATTCAGACTACGACACCCGACACACTATGACAAAGTATTTGTTAGCTTACATCTTAATATATGTGTACTTACCACAACAATTTGCATTTGCGACTCCCCCCTTCACTACAAATATCAAAAACAAATCAAACAAAAAAAAAAACAAAAAAATTCAATTCGAATTCCATGTATAGCTCGTTGCGACGCCAACGCCAGGGAGGGAACAGCAGCGATAATTCTAGTGACGATAATGATGACTCTGATAACGCTGACAAGGAGGACGATTCTGATAAAAAAAAGAAGAAAAGCAATGACGATGATGGCGAAGACGATGGCAACGACGATAAAGATGGCGCCGATGGGGAGGAGAAGAAGAGCGAAACGACTAAAAAGTCGCCAAACAAGAAGCGTAGCACCAAAACGGCAACCGAAGATGCCGAGGGCAAGTCCAACGATGATAAGGATAAGGATGAGGACGATGAGCAGGAGCACGGCGATGGCCATGAATCGGAAAAAAAGAATGCCAAATCTGTTGGCTCCGATGATGATGATGATGAGGAGGCCAAGGGCAAGACCGATGAGTCCGGTGATGCCGATAAGCCCAAAGAGAAGGGCAAATCATCGAGCACAGCCGAAAAGTCGACAGGTAAGAAAAAAGACAAGGACGGCGATGACAAGGAGTCCAAATCAAAGAAATCGTCCAGCAAAAAGGAGCGCTCTTCGCGCAAGGACAAAGATGAAAGTGACGATGAACGCAAAGAACGACGCACCACCTCCACGTCCCGTCATCGCGACGATGACCATAACAATCTGCGCAAGCGTACTTTCATCAAGCTCACCTGTGTCCACTGTCACATCAAGTGCGTTACCTTTAAGGTAAGTGGAGAGGGACCTATCAAATCAAAATCGATGCACCTATCAAATATATATCAATAAGTATATTTAAACAATTAGCTTATACCTATATTGATATGTTCGACAGGAATACCACTATCATTTGAACTCGCGTACTCACAAGAACTCGATGCGTACAGTCGCCTTGCGTCAGCGTGCGGATTTACAGCGCATGCGCGCTCGTCAACGCACCACACAGCGCGAGATTGAGGAGAATAGCAAGGAGGAGTATGAGTCCCGCTATTGCCGGCTTTGCCGTTTAGCCTATCGACAGCCGAAGAACCTGCATCAGGCATCGGAGCATCACAAGACTATCAAGAAGTTCTTGATGCCGTACTGTGGCTCTTGTCACTTGGCCTTCAAGAATGCTATGCTCTATGAGAACCATCGCTGCTCGCTGGAGCACATAAGAGTGAGTTTTGAACGAAATAGGATTTCCTGTTGCAATATTTTTTAACGGTACACACTGTCAACAGAATAAGGCGCGTAATGACGAGTCTGGATCGGAGGACAGCGTTGATGAGCGTGAAATTGATTTGAACAAATTCCTTACCGTCGATTCGGTGGGCGAGATCGATGACGATGTCATGGATGCTGATGTTGATGCAATGTTGCTTGAGGCCGAAACAGCACAGAAGAGCACCGACGAGGAGACGCGCAAGCGCGGCCTTATCGGCCTGGACTTCATCAAGGCTGTGGAGGCATTCTATTGCGAATTGTGCAATCATTACTCGCCCAAGCTGGGTGACGATACCTTGGACGCGTATACAAAGAAGCATTGCCTGCAGCACTTGCATATAAAGAACTATTTGCGCCACAAGGATGAGACCGAAAAGTCCAAGTCCAAATCAGATGCGGGTGATGACGATGACGACCATGAGGTCGATGAGGAGGGTAACAAGATACCCAAAGATACTGACGAAGCTGACGCCGAAGAGGACATTGAGATGGACGGCAAAGAAGAGGAAGATGAGGAATATGAAGGCGAGGATGCTGATGAATCGCACGATGAAAAACTGTGGGAAGAGGTTGACAAGGATTTGGGTGATCTGTTGGCCGAGGTTGAGCCATTGGGCCACGAAGAAGAGGAGGAGGAAGATGAGTCTGTGCTGAATATTGACATCGAAAGGTGAGCTGGGTTTATTTGAATACCCATCTATACAACCTATAATGGGCAACTATTATTGCAGTGAGAAGAACAAGCTTAAGGATGTCAAAGATGAAACAAATGGTAATGTCGAGGAGGCGCCAAAAGAAACCAAGCCGACAGCTACAAAGGCGGCAGATAAAAAATCAACTACAGCAATAACAACACCAACAACAACAACAACCACAACGCCTAAAGCAGCACCTGCTGCAAAAAAAGAGGCGGCAGCGCCCAAAAAAGCAACGCCCAAAGCGACCGTGACCAAGGCCAATCGACCCGGCCCAGCCTCAACGAAAC